TTAAGGCACTTAAAAATATTTTATTTTTAAGCCAGGCGTGGTGGAGCATGCCTTTAATCCCAGCACTTGGGAGGCAGTGGCAGGTGGATCTTTGTGAGTTCAAGGCCAGCCTGGTCTACATGGTGAGTTCCAGGACAGCTGGGGCTACAGGGGGACCCTGTCTCAAAAAGACAAAAAAAAAATTATTTTAAAATCATGTATGTGTATGTGTTTCTGTGTGTGGGTATGTGCATGTGAATACAGTTGCCCTTAGAGACCAGAAAAGGGTGTGGGATCCCCTGGAGGTGGAGTTACTTACAGGTTGGTGTGGGCTACCCAACGTGGGTGCTGGGAACCTAACTTGGGTCCTCTGCAAGGGCAGTAAGTGCTCTTAACTGATAAGCCATCTTTCCAACCCCAACCTAAAGCACTTAAAGAATTTTATTTATTTATTTATTTATTTATTTATTTATTTATTTATTTATTTATTTATTTTAGAGTCCCTCCCTTTAAGAAGATTAGCTCTTCCTCACCCAGCAGTAATCAGCTGTCAATAATTCTTTGACTAAGATTAGGGCCTGCTGCCCATTCCCACAGTTCTGTGCTGGGCTTTTGCCTATTTGAGTTTACATGGGTCTTGTACATGCTGACACCATGGCTATATTGTTATTTTATGTGCTTGAGTGTTTTGCCTGCATGTAAGTGCACCCATGTTGTGCAATGCCCATGGATGCCAGAAGAAGGCACTGGATCCACTGGAACTGTGGGTGCTGGGAAATGAACCTGGGTCCTCTGCAAGAGCAGCTAGTGCTCTTAGCCACTGAGCCATCTCTCCAGCCCCTAAAGCACTTTTATTATCAGACTAGGTCAAATCTAATTGCTAAATTTCTTCCCTATCTAGCACCTGAGCACTCATGGAAACTATTAAATCAATTAAGAGGAGTATTAAAATCTATGTATTTTCTGCCAAAAAAAAAAAAAAATTCCAATGCCAGGACTCCACTCAGGAAAACAAAGCATAATCCGTAAGGATGGGGTCCAGACATTAGTATTTTTTTATAGCTTCCCTCAGAGACTTCAATGTTGGACAAGGTTGAAAGCCTAGAAAAAGTTATCTCCCACAGCAAATGTCAATATCTAATTTGCAATCTGAAAATAAGCATCAAAGGCCTCCCTCAGAAAGGATTGTTAGCCTTTGAAACAGCAATTTCATCTCTCAGAGTTTATTTCAAGAAAATGAGATATAAAGCCCGGCGTGGTGGCGCACGCCTTAATCCCAGCACTCGGGAGGCAGAGGCAGGCGCAGGTGGATCTCTGTGAGTTCAAGACCAGCCTGGTCTACATAGTGAGTTCCAGGACAGCTGGGGCTACAGGGAGACACTGTCTCAAAAAGCCCCCCCCAAAAGGAGAGATATAAACAATGGTTACCATAGAAGGGTATTTTATTGTGGCATTATTAAAAGTTGTGAAGAAAGCAGCCATAGTGGTTATCTGAAGGAAACTATGGAGTTGTTTTTGTTTTTGTTTTTTTTGAAACCCCCACAGGGATGGAGAAATGGTTCACTGGTTAAGAGCACTGGTTACTCTTGAAAAGGACATGGATTTGGTTCCCAGTATTCACAGCTAGCAACCATCCATAACTCCAATTCCAGGGGTTCCCATGCCCTCTTCTGACCCTGCAGGTATTGCACTACATCGATGGTCCCAGCACTCAGAAAGCTGAGGCAGGAAGAGTCCAAGTTCTAGGCCAGCCTGGAATTAAAAATTTTTTAATGAGGGGCTGGAGAAATAACTCAGTAGTTAAGAGCACTGGCTATTCTTGCAGAAGATCCCAGTATGAATCCCAGCACCCACATGGCAACTAACAACCATCCATAACTCCAGTTCCAGGGGATTCGACACGATCTTCTATCCTCTGTAGCAGTACAGGACACAGGTGCACTTACACACATGTAGGCATAACACTCATACACATAAAATAAAAATAATTAATTAAAAACAAATCATTGTTTGCTTCCCATAGTGTGTGTGGAGAACAACTTTCAGTTATCAGTTCTCTCTTTTCACCATGGGTTCTGTCCACCATGGGTTCCGCCAAGGGTTCCAGGGATCAAACTCAGGTCACCTAGTGCAGCAAATGCTCTCACCCACTCAGCCACTTTGCCTGTCCCATTCTGCTTTTCTAACAAGCCCCGAGCAATGCTGATTGTGATGCTGGTACTAATGTGTTGGGGGACCCTGCTGCTAAGGTTGTAGTCCACCATGTCCAGATAGCTCTAAGGGGCTCGGTGCTATATTGAAGGACTCCCTTTCTCAGTGGGGGCCTCCTGCTCTCTGCCTGACTTAACCTGGAAAGTGCCACCAAGCACGGATGCCTGACCTTATTTGGAACATGACCTTTGGCATAGTTATCTGTAATAAAACTGCCCCCAGTTTTTTTTCTATAGGCATTGCCCTATAGTCGGATAGGATCCCCCTACCTCATGTAAATAAAGCATACTATGAGCACCTATCAGCTGAAGCTTTGGCTGCTGCCTCCACACTATATTTTCCCTGAACCCCACTGAATAAATAGAGCTGTTTCACTGAATCTGACTCCCCAGAAAGTCTTTTCCGTCATGCTCACTGGCCATCCTGACCCTGTTTGTCGCTTCTGCTCCCTTTGTCCTCGTGGATCGGTGGCCAACGGCCCTCGAGGGGAGGAAGAGACCCACACTAATGCTGGGCTCAACCACCCTGAGCAGAGAGCCTGAAGTTAATTCTGGGGAGCCACTGCTACACACAAAGGGTCTGTGGGCCAACAGAGAAAACCAGACTATGATATTTTCCAGATGAAAAACATATAGAAATTTAACAGTTGTGATACCAGTGACACAGTTTGGCTTCAAATGACAACCTATAGTTTGGGAGGCAACAGTGAAGAGCTACAGGAAATCTCAAAAAGAGCTACAGATTCTCTGGCCTCATAAGGACTTATGCAACCCTGTGCCAAGGAACAAAGTTAGAAACCCTCAGCCTGAGCAATCAACACATACCCAATTTGATTCCTTAAATATCTGGGTAAGTACCTCCCAGGTCAGGCCTGGAGAATACAAAGAGTTCTCAGTGTAAAATCAGAGACGACTCAGTACAGAAATCTTCTCAAAACAAGATACCTGAGGTATGATTTAGGGCTGGGGACAGTCACAGGGTAAGGCCAAACACTGCCTAATGCCAAGAACTTGTTTCAATAAAGGGATTCTCAGGCAAGCAACAATCAATAAAGAAATTCAAACCATAGGCCTTATTTTTCAATGCTACAGCACATATAACATCTAAAAGTGTGAAGAAAAATCATTTTAAATGGCTGAAAGCAGTAAACATATTAGTTCCAAATGCTTTTAGCTAAATAAATGTGGGCTTTTTAAAAATAATTTTTTTTTTTTAAGATTTCGGAGTTCAGGGCTGGGCATGCTGGTGCATGCCTTTAATACCAGCACTTGGGAGGCAGAGGCAGGCAGATCTCTGTGAGTTCGAGGCCAGCCTGGTCTACATAGTGAATTTCAGAACAGCTGGGGCTACAGGGTGACCCTGTCTCAAAAAAAAAAAAAAAAAAGATTTCAGAATTCAACTTTTAATATTTTATTTATTATTATTTTTAATATTTTATTTATTTTATGTATATGAATATAGTGCCTGTATGTATGTAAGTGATCCATGTAGTGCAATGCCCACAGGGTCAGAAAAGGGTATGAGAACCCCTGGAACTAGAGTTATGGATGGTTAGCCCTGGGTGCTGGGAACTGAACCGATCTCCTCTTCAAGAGCAACCAGTGCTCTTAACTAATGAGCCATTTCTCCATCCCTGTTGGAATTAAAAAACAACAACAAAAATAACAACAAAAAAACCCCCAGCTCCATAGCGTCCTTCAGATAACCATAAAATGATCCAGGTCAAGTTCAGGCCTGGTTCCCTTTTCTTTCAAAAATTAACCTTTGAAGTCACAGGACCCATAGTAGGAGCTTGATAAATAGCTGTTGTCAAACTTAATGTTTTGTCCCCAAGTCCCTCATATCATAAACTCAGAAAAGTGTCAGAGCTCACAGAACAAACCAGGGTGGAAGTCAGTTTGCCTGTTTCTCTGACTTCCACTTCCTGTACTAGTCTGTACACTGTGGTCAAGGCTTGAAGTGTCCTCAACGTGTGTCAAGAGTCAGGGGGAGGTGGAAGGCTCAATCTTCATCCCTTGACCTCCAAAGAAGGCAAGCATAGATGACCTCATCAGAGATGATGCTAAGTATCTGTTGATTCTAAACATGTCTTTCATCTGTTAATGTGGTTCATTCCCTTAGTTCTCCTAACATTGACAAAATTTTACATTCCTAGGATAAACCTGGTCATGAGAAATTACCCACTGTGTTGGGATTCTAATATTTTGTGGAGGATTTTTGTATTTATATTCACAAATGGTACTGCTCTATAATTTTCTTATATTATCCTTATCAGATTTAATATCAAAGTTATGCTGCCTCTTTTTCTTTTTCTTTTTTTTTTTTTTTTTTCTTGGCTTTTTGAGACAGGGTCTCTCTGTAGCCCTAGCTGGCCTGGAACTCACTATGTAGATCAGGCTGGCCTGGAACTCACAGAGCACTGTTCATGTTTAACTTCACCTGAAGATTACAGTCTAGTTGGCCCTGGTGGCTCTGGGATGTCCTATTATCTGCAAAGGGAGGGATAACTTTGGGCTAGGCACAACTGATTCAATCAACATCCGTGCACTGGCCACACTAGAAATTTTGTGGAGGACTATGCAACTATTCCTCACATCACTCCTGGAAGTCACTTGTCACTGACATGAGGAAGCTGCCATCAAATGACCAGGCAGTGTCCATACGAGGGTGTGGGGCGTGTTTTCACTGGTGAAAACCTTCCCTAAGGCCAGGCTTGGATTGGTTAGTCCCCAGGGCTAGCGTGTTTTCTAACACCAGTGAGCTGCCTCTGCCTGCCGTTCCGCGGGCCACTTGGCCCAGGGCACACTCACCAGTGCCTCGAAATCCTTACAGTCGTGGCGGGCGTAGGAGGCAGGGAAGGGCCGCAGCACCGAGTCCCGCTTGTAGCTCTGCAGCGCGGAGGCGAAGAGGCTGCAGCGGAGGTCCGCCGCCAGCATGTCGCGGCTCGCCGCCTCCTTGGCTGCAGCCCTGCCGGAGAGCAGCATCCCGGGCTCGCGGTGGGGACGGCAGCGCTGCTCTGCTCAGTTCAGGGCCTGGGCCCCGGGGACCGAGAGAGGCCGGGGTTCGCGGCCCGGGGGTGGAGCTACGCAAAAGGGTGACAGGACGACGGTGTGCAGGGCGCGCCGACGAGCGTCCTCTGCAGGGCACCGGACTCGACCGCTCAGTGCAGGGCAGAGGTCGGTCCGGGAGAGACGCAAGCGCACCCGGCCAGCCCGGGATCCCGAGGCCTTGGGGCGGGGG